GACATTCCCACCGGACTGAAAACAAAATCGGGTCGAATAATTGATTCGGGTCGAACCCTAAGCCCAAAATTGACCGTCATCCAGAAGAAAAAGACCATTTTGGCGCTAGCGAACCAAGGAAAAGGGAAAAACCAGTGAGGAAGATTAACAGGCATTCATAAAACAGATTCTGGTAATTTCAATGGATGATCGCGAGGAACTTTTCAAGGCGGTGTTCGGCGAATCATCAGACAGCGAGGACGACCGGAATCAGCGAGAAGACCAGGAAGAACACCGACTAGCCGTTGATTCACCGGACTATAATCGATCTCAGCCAAATTTGACTCAAAATCACGAACCTGTCTGGGAGCAAGTGAGGGAGATAACTGGATTGTGGCTGTGCAGAAACTTCCTCTCCCCTCAGCAACAATCTTCGTTGCTCGCGGCCGTCCAAGAAGGTGAGTTTTCGCTCTCCCTTCTCGATCTCTGCTAAAATGGTGGTGGACTCGCCCTAGAAGAGTTTGATTCTGTACTAATGTTTATCCTCCATTGACATGTCATGACAGAGGGGTGGTTCACGGAAGAATCTCACAATCAGGTACTAGGTTGCTCAAGAGTTTGGAGAAATGATTTCAAAGGTGTTTATAGTACTGTTTGTGATTCTCTAATGGACATCGTTTTTTATCTGTTTTTCAAGGCTATGAGGTTCGGAGATCTTCCTCCGTGGGCAACTGAACTTTCTAAACTTATTGTCAAAGCGGTGCTATGGGGTAATCTGGACATGGTTAGCAGTGATAGCGAAGACATGATTTCCATATTTCCATCAGCTTTATTGCGCAGAGAACCACTGTTTGATCAACTGATCGTAAACTTATACCAACCAGGTGAGGTGGGATTTCTCTTTTTGCGTTTATAATGCATAATAATTTAAACAAAGCTTCATTATGTCATAGATCAATTATTAACATCCACACACTTTATATTGGCTGTTGGTAATCATGGCATTTGTTAGATTAAGCTAATTAGTAATCAAATTGAACTGTCTATGGGCTCAGGTCTAAGTTTTGGTTTTTGGATAAAGCATATGTGTATTCTGGAAGACTTCCACACGTTCTTGAGTATTCCGGGGAAGTCTATTACATTTTCTCGAGTTATCATTTTTAATATTAGTCATTAGTTGTACATAATCTGCTGTGTATTGCACTAGCCTCTGTATTATGTGTTAGTGCCACTGTGATGTGAGTTGTAGCTCAGGTAAAGTTTTGGTATTTGATTTAATCGAAAGCTTCTTTATTTCTCTCTTTGGAATGACCTGGAAAAGTGGCATGGGGAGGAGGCCGAAGAACTTCCTTCTCGGCTGGGGATCTGAGAAGATGGCTGGGGAACTCGCTCTTCTTGTGGCGCATAAAATAACTGTTTGCCATAAGTTTGCTTCTTATCATGGGATTCTCAATGGTTGAAACCCTTATTCACGCTGTCTCCAAACTTAAAAAACAAATCATGACCACTTTCATAGAAAAAATTGTTTGAAAGCAAAATGGTCCAGGTGTTGTTGGAAGTCAGCAAATGATTGCAGTACAATCTGTAAGAAACTGTTCATCCTTAAAAGCTTCCAACTGTGATTGTAATGTTATGCTGAATATTCTTTTGATTTTGGTTTTCTCTTAATTTTCAACATAAAGAGAAGGCTCTAGTTGTAAAATTGAGTTGTTGGATAATGAAATTTTGCAGATGGCTCAATAAGTACATTGCAGAACCCGATTAAATTCTAATGCACTCTCACTTTATTGTTGTTCTTGCTTTGATCCATTTCTATGTTGTTGCATCAGATAAGAACTCGTCAACCAGTGGTAACTTAATATTTTTATCTTGCATATCTTGCCTTGCTACCTTCTTGGAAGTCGGCAAATGATTGCAGTAGGATCTATCAGAAACTGTTCATCCTTAGGAAGCTTCCAACTGTGGTCGTAATGTTATGCTGAATATTCTTTTGATTTTGGTTTTCTCCTTTATTCACAATATAAAGAGAAGGCCCTAGTTGTGAAATTGAGTTGTCGGACGGTGAAAATTTTGCAGATGGCTCAATAATTACGTTGCAGAACCCCATTAAATTCTAATATATTCTCGCCTTATTGTTGTTTTTACTTTGATCCATTTGTGTGTTGTGGCATCAGATAATCATCAACTACTGGTAAGTTTATATTTTTATCTTGCATATCTTGTCCTGCTACCTTATTTTATTAGTATGTTCTTCTTTATTTGTTTGTGCCATCATGTTGTTAGATTGAATATTCGATTTAGTTCTTGTTCATGTTAGACTAATTTGCCTGTATTACCATTCCATGCTAAAAGTTTTTGCATATTGGAAGGTAACGTAAGTGTGGCATATATATGTTGATTGGACATGCAGGGAATCCGTGCGCATGTTGACCTAATGCGTTTTGAAGATGGCATTGCCATTGTGTCCCTGGAGTCCTCCTGTGTGATGCATTTCTCACGAGTTGGAGAAGAGTGTGAGAATGACATTGTTGTGGAGCAAGCAGCAGGAAATGGTCCAGCCACGGCGAAGATTCCAGTTTACTTGACTGCGGGATCTCTAGTTGTAATGTCTGGAGAAGCTCGGTATCTTTGGAAACACGAGATAAATCGCAAGCCAGGATTTCAGATCTGGAAGGGCCAAGAATTGCATCAGAAACAAAGAATCTCCATAACCCTGAGAAAGCTATGCCAATTCGAGTAATTACACTCTATCTGTCTGCCCGATTGAGAGCATTTTAGCAATTGCAGTAAAATATATAGATTTTATGCGGATTTACAGGTCGGAAATAGGTGCAATGGAAATGATTTTTTCGTTAGTTTGGAGAAGAATACGAAGAAATGAAATTTTTTGAAGAACTACGAAAAATATGTTAATTGAATTTGGTTTGACAATATGTTGAGGACTAACAAGTGAGATTAATATTTTGTTGAATCTTAGGATTTTATGTACTTTAACTGGCTTCCTGTTTCTCAAAATTTGAACAGAGACCAGGGTTATATTTAGATTTAAAATTTTTTATAATTTATTTAAAATTGATTTTTAACCTTTCTCAAAATTATAATTCAATTTTAAAAGTAACAAATTTGAAAATAAAGTTTAAGTCTCTTTATAATATTTATAAGAGAATTAAAAAAAAAAAAAACTTCTTTGGAATAAAATTAAAATACTAACTTAGTCTGAAATAATGTCCATCCACTGCATGTGTTGCTAATGGTCAAGAATGTTCTAAGAAAATAGCTATATAATATATATATATATATACATATAAATCTTAATTTACTCCCAAAAGAATATCAGATATCCATTTTATATAATTGAAACTTTATACATCTGATATGACGAAATGAGATTTCACAATTTTAAAAAATCAAATATTAGATGGCCACCTCTCTTTGTCTGTACATAACCAACATGGCATATGGGGGGATTAGATACTTTAAGATTGTGTGATTATGTAATATTAAAATACTTATAAAAATAATATTAATAAATACACTTATAATTCTTTTCTTTTTAATTTTGAAAAATATAAAATTTTCACTGTGGTATGCACAAATATGAGAATAAATCTTTCCTTGCAAATTTAAGTTTAGTCCATGATATATCTAACGTATTTAATATTTTTTTTTAAATATTTTATAATAAGTTAGATGCTGTTAATAATTAATTATATAATTAAAAAGTAAATAATGTTTTAATGTTAATATTTGATATGCCTAATATATTATTAATAAAAATCTTTGGCACGGCTGGGCCCGGACGGTCCCACCCAACCACCGCGAACAAATTGTTCAATCTATTCGTCTCGTGAAATGGGCCCCACGCTTGATGAACGGCTGAGATTTATTCCGACGATCGCACCGGGCATAATCACGCGTGAGTGAAATAACCGATGTTAAAAAATGGTCAGTAAAACGACATCGTGCTGATCAGGAACTCAAAGCTACAAGTGTGTGTCGTTTTAACATCACCGTCCCATGTCCGAAACCAAAATATGCTCGTCCATCTCGTCTCTGTAACTGAGCTGGTTGCTACGTAACAAAACGCGTATGGCTTCCTAATCTTTTATTATTATTATTACTATTATTATTGTTTTCTTTTGAAATTTTCCAGGAAAATTACCCAGAAAGGGAAAAAGAATAATTATTATATCTTTTTGGTACTAAATAAATTATTTTGCAAAAATATTAAACCCTCCTTCTTCCCTTTCTCTGAGATCCGAGACAGGCCGAGGTCCTTGCTTGGAGAAAAAGAGGAAACAGAAGCAATCGGACGGGAAATGATAGAGAAGTTCTTGGGAGCTCACAGATCTCGGAGGATCCACAGAGCTATGCGCCACTGCAAGGTGACGGCGATTTGTCTCGTCCTCACCGTCGTCGTCTTACGTGGTACGATCGGCGCCGGGAAGTTCGGCACGCCGGAGCAGGACTTTATCGAGATTCGCGACCATTTCTACTCCCGCAAGCGCGCCGAGCCGCATCGGGTTCTGGAGGAGGTTCAAACGACGTCGTCTTCCTCCGACGATTCTTCTTCTGTGTCCTCCGGGACGAATAATTACGAGACGTTTGATATCAACAAGATATTTGTCGACGAAGGGTCCGACGAGAAACCCGACCCGAATAAGCCGTACACTCTCGGACCTAGAATATCCGACTGGGACGAGCAGAGATCCGAATGGCTGAAGCAAAACCCTCAGTTCCCCAATTTTATCGGACCCAATAAGCCCCGGGTCTTACTGGTTACTGGGTCAGCGCCAAAACCGTGCGAGAACCCCGTTGGTGATCACTACCTCCTGAAATCGATCAAGAACAAGATTGATTACTGCAGGCTACATGGGATCGAGATCTTCTACAATATGGCGCTTCTTGATGCGGAGATGGCTGGATTCTGGGCGAAGCTGCCGTTGATTCGCAAGCTGTTGTTGTCTCACCCAGAAGTGGAGTTCCTCTGGTGGATGGACAGTGACGCTATGTTCACAGACATGGCTTTTGAGCTGCCATGGGAGAGGTACAAGGATTCAAACCTCGTGCTGCACGGATGGAACGAGATGGTTTACGATCAGAAGAACTGGATTGGGTTGAACACGGGAAGTTTCCTTTTGAGGAATGGGCAGTGGGCGTTGGACATTCTCGACGCCTGGGCACCCATGGGTCCGAAAGGGAAGATTAGAGAAGAAGCAGGGAAGATTCTAACTCGAGAGCTCAAAGACAGGCCGGTTTTCGAAGCTGATGACCAGTCTGCAATGGTTTATTTACTGGCGACACAGAGAGACAAATGGGGAGACAAAGTATACTTAGAAAATGCCTATTACTTGCACGGCTACTGGGGAATTTTGGTGGATAGATACGAGGAAATGATCGAGAATTATCATCCGGGTCTGGGTGATCACAGGTGGCCATTGGTGACCCACTTCGTGGGTTGCAAGCCTTGTGGGAAATTCGGGGATTACCCAGTTGAGAGATGCTTGCGGCAAATGGACAGAGCCTTCAATTTTGGCGACAACCAGATTCTTCAGATTTATGGGTTCACCCACAAGTCTCTAGCTAGCAGGCGGGTCAAGAGAGTCCGAAATGAGACTAGCAACCCGCTTGAGGTTAAAGATGAACTTGGATTGCTTCATCCAGCGTTTAAAGCTGTTAAGGTATCTTCAGCTTGATTGCGTTTTTTGTTTTTGGTCTTTTTCTTTCGGTGTTACTCATTAGTAAGATATATAAAAAGTTGGAAGCTTCTTCTTCTTCCTCCTTGTGTATGCAGTTGTTATCTGTGTTGGTACTAGTACTTAGGTCTGGAGATAGTATTCTTTTGTTCCTTATCTGCTTTCTTACTTTATAAATTTGTAATGATTTCCGAAGGAAAATAGAGGATTTACTCCTTTTCAATCTTGTAGCCTTTTGTGATATTGGATGCAGTGAGACATTGCTGATACTTTTCTTTATACTCTTACTTGCCACCATGCAAAAGCACTTTAATTGCTCAACTAAGTTTTGAAATCTTTTACGGTCGCATAAACGTTCATCCACGATTTTCATAGCTTGTTCTTGAGATGTGATCGGGGTAGTGGCGGGTGCATCAGTTTTTATGCTTAAAAATGTCTGATGATCTCGCCTGAACGGCCCCTAACAATGACAATGTGTTTGGTGGGTTACTTTTTAGAGCAAAAGCAGTGGGTGCTTTAGAGCAAAAGCGGTGAAGGAAGTGTGCGAGTGCTTTTTGTTTTCTATGCTTAAAGATGTTAGATGATCTCAAGGGAACAGCTCTTAACATTAATCTAGTTGTTAAGAGTTTTTTCTTTTTAAAGAAATTTTAGAGTGAAAAGTGGGTGAAGTAAAGCTGGGTTTTATAATAACCCTGTTGACAGTTTTTCAAGAGAATGAGAATTAAGCAAGAATTCATTGAACTCTCTTAACTCTCAATTAAACAGCTTTTCAAATTTGAGAATTGGGGGGTTCTCATAATCTATTTGAACAGTGAATTTCTTGTAGGATATGTAACAGATTTCTACTCTGTTTTATTCCCTTTAACCAGAAAGATATGATTGAAAACTTTCCAAGAAGGTTTGATCACAACTCTTGTTTTACTTTATTCTGTTCCACCTTCATCTTGAGACTCCTAAATATGGTGGAAATTTCCTTGTTCTTGGGGTTTGTGGATTTTTCTCACCCTTCATGCGGCGTCCTGTTATGTGGCTTGCTCGGAGTTCCTCCTCGGATATTTGTCCCTGTTGTTGCTAGAATCCGAGCCCGGTCATTTTATAAACGGTTTTTGAGTTTCATCTCTATTTTCCGGCTGCTACGATCTTGGATCTTGTTATTTGCCCTGTTATAATACCTAGTGTCTGAACTTTTGTTCATGGTGTCAACAATTTTGACGAAACTTAAAAGAGCTAAACTACTTTTCCGATTGCGGGATTGCTCTCCCTCCTGCTCAACAATGGTGTTTTCTTTTTTTCTTTAGCTTGCTCTTCATTGTTCATTAAATATTATGCCATAAACTTTGCCCTGTTCGAGTCGAAACTTCAGATTTGAATGGAACTTATATATGTCTTTTATGGGAAGTTGTGATGTATACATATTAAATGTATGTAAGTAAGTGTTACAAGGGTTGAGAAAATGAATTGAACCAAGAGAGAGAGCTAAAGAGTGTTATATAATATGTTGTTAAATTTCAAGTGCTGGTTTTAGAGAGTGAATTAAAAGGTACTCTTTTTTTACTAATTGTAGTAGTAACTAAGGCCATGTTTGGGCAGGTACATTTTTTTGTGAAGTTTATTTCAAAATGTATGTTTCCATTCTTGAGATAATTCTAAGTGGAATTAAAAGACTATTTACTTTTAACTTAATTTAATATCCTGAAATTTAGAATATATTTTTTCCTTAATTTTTGTAATTCTGAAATTTTTGGATCATTTTTAGAGATTGAAATATTAAAAAACTTTTTTTCAAACGCTTAAACTTCAATTTAAACAAGTCCAAACAAACAAGGCCTAAGAACTTTGGACGAACGCTTCTACTGTTTCACATAAAAGCAAGCTTCAGATTTATTGTAGACAATACTGCGGCCCATGCCAAACTAGCCTTAACCAAATCAGCCGCAACCGGGTTCATGGGTCTAACCACCCGGAAACACCCGACCAAATTCGCTATCATAGCCGCGCACAGCCCCAGCCCGACCCAAGTCGCTCCGACCCGAAGCACAACCGGACTCCAAGCCAGGGTCAACCCAAGCTGAGCCAAGTAAAGCCAGAAGGCGGCGGGTTTCTCGTGGAAGCCGCCTTCAGCCCAGATGAGCCAAGCCGATAGATTCATAAAGCAAGTCGACGCCACGCACGTCGCATGCAGCAGCCAAATAGGCGGGAACCAAAACGGCGTCGTGTCCTTCCCGTAGCCGCCGTTTCTTGACGACCCGAATAAGTAGGTGGTGGAGAGGGTGACGGAGAGAGGAAGCAGGACGGCTAGGGAGAGTGATTTAAGACCGCGTTTGGCCAAAGCCGTTCTTTTTTCTTCCTTTTTCCGTTTATCGACAGTAGCAGAGTCGTCGTCGTCGTCCTTTTTGTGATCGTCGTCCGGCGAGATGGCGGTGGTGGGGGAATCATGATCTCTCTGCACGCGATGTTTGAGTTCTTGGGTATCCATGAAGTAACAGGAAAAAAGTGAGACGGGGACAGAATTTTGGGGAGGGAGGACGAAAGTAAGGAGGGTTTTTAATCTTGTCTGGCTGATGATTCTGTTTGGGAAGAAGGAAAAAAGAAAGACACGTGGGCGTAGGAGATGGAAGATGGTGGACACTGACGTGTTATATATATATGCAAAAGACGTGTGTTCATTGCATGTATAGTTTGATTCACGATATGCTCGTTGTTATTGGTTTACAGGATAAGATTGATCGGTATAATGGCCGTGAAATATATACGTATACATGTACATATATACGTGTTAAGCAGAGGAGGGAGGAGGAAGAGACTGTTGTGTACAGCCGCAGCTTCTTACACGCGTCTACGTGCATGGGAAATTCAGAAACCATTAATTCATGCAAGGTTACATTAAATTATGATTTTAAGCTCGTAATTATTTCTCCTATAATTTAATTTTCAATTTTTTTTTTGTATAATTTCGTAAAAAATGATCTAAATTATGCCCAGATCCTTCTTATTATCATACAATTTAAAAGATTTTATAAATTATAATAAAATTAATTAATTCAATAAGAAATTTAAAATAAAAATAATGACATTAACCTAATCGAAGTGTGTTACTGGGCCTGGGATAAGCTTTCCAGCAAGTAGGTCAATGGGCCATCACTGATCTGCAAGAAAAAAATTCGTGGTTTTATTTTATTTCTTTATTATTATTATTATTTTAATTTTAATTTGTAGTTTTTAGTTTTTCAATTGAAACTCTTCTCGATCTGAAGAACTGAACCATGTAGGAAAGTATGATCAACTAAAGTATAGTAAACGAGAATCGATGGCGGTCTCCTCGTCGTCTTCAACTCCGGTAAGAGTTAAACGTGTTCGTAACCATGGAGCTGGTTCTCCAATGTTTTCCAAACTTGTCAGAAACCCCAAATTACTCTTCGCTTTCGCGCTAATTCTCGCCGATGTCATTTTAGTAGCTCTCATCATCGCCTATGTCCCTTGTAAGATCAACTCATTATTCACTTTCCTTCTCCGGGTCTCTCAGATTGTAGTCATTACAATGTGATTGTTCGTTCTGTTATTGTTTTCAATTTTTGCAGATACAAAGATAGATTGGGATGCTTATATGTCACAGGTGCGGGGCTTTTGTCTAGGCTTATGTTTTTTCTTTTTTTTTTTCCTTAAATTTTATTTATGTGAATTTGGTGTAATCAACAATCAGGTAAGCGGGTTTCTCGGGGGAGAAAGGGATTACATCAACTTGAAAGGTGATACAGGTCCTCTGGTTTATCCAGCTGGGTTTCTCTATGTTTATTCTGCGATTCAGTATGTTACAGGAGGAGAGGTTTATGCAGCTCAGGTAATTTAATTCAATCTCGTTTTCTTTACTCTGATACTGGTAATTACATCACCAGTCTTTCCCTATATCAGTGCTTGGTAGAAGGTCTAAAGAAGACCCATTTTTAGGGAAATTTCGAGTAAAACTAGTGGAAGTTATACTTGTAGGATTGATCTTGGATGAAAGTTTGCAAAATCATTTGATTCTTTGAAATGGGTTTGGTTTACTAGGTTAATTTTTCTGGGTTGATTAGTCTAGTTTCCCATTACGGAGTGCTTTACTCTTGAGGATCTTTCTTGTGAAGAAATGTAATGATAGAAAATTCTCACGCTTCCAGAATGAGAGAATTTTAATTTTGCATGGTAGATATACTAAAGGGACAATTTTCTCATTGTCTAGTAGTAGTAATCGTTTATAATTGTCTTTTTGGTCTTTCCTTGCGCTTATGGTTAGACCTGAACTATCATCTCATGGTTTGTATTTTCCTTTTCTTTGTTTGACTGCAGATATTGTTTGGCACTCTGTACATCATAAATCTCGGAATAATCTTATTCATTTATTTGAAGACTGATGTGGTACAAAACTTTTTCCCTTTGTTTTCCCTTTTGTGGCTGTTATCTAGCCATTAACGAATTGCATGTGAAATTGCATGATGAAATTGGTTCAATCTTTTAAGAGCATCTAAGGGCGTAGGATAAGAGGAAATACAAGGGAAAAGAGGATGTCTTAGACAGCGATTTACTAATGCTAATTGCTTCTTAGCAAAACAATGGAGAAGAAATTGTTAATCATGGTATTTCTAATTGTTTTGTCGTCTTGTCTCATGCCTTTAACGATGTGTTAATGAGTCTCTGGAGCTTGTAAAAGAGGCGTGCCTCTTATATCCTAGACCTCTAGGTTTCTCTTCAAATTTCTGCTTAGTTTTCTAGAATTTCTACGATTTTCATTGCTTATTTGGAGTTGCTATTACAGATGCAAGTTGGGTGTTTTGTTGCCATTTGAAAGATTGAGCCTGAAGTGTGTGTCATAAGGCTCTTACATCTATTATAACTGCTGTATCTATCAAAGGTTACATCAGGTCCTGTTTCAAGTGAATTGTCACTCTAGCAAATCAATATCTTAATCAAATTTTCTCTATGTTTTCTTTTGAATGTTGTCATGCATTATTTTTAAACTTTACTTTTGCATTATCTTCCTTTATTCCTTAAATGACTTGCAGCTTCCGTGGTGGGCTCTTAGTCTGCTTTGTTTGTCGAAAAGAATACACTCAATCTTCGTGCTTCGTCTATTCAATGATTGTTGTGCCATGACACTCCTTCATGCTGCATTGGCCTGCCTTCTCTGCCGGAAGTGGCATCTGGGGTTGATTATTTTCAGGTTGTACTTTTGCTTTTGTTTTTCATATATTTGATACTAGATATGATGTCTTAACTTCTCTGCTTCATATGGATAGTGGGGCTGTTTCAATAAAGATGAATGTTCTACTCTATGCTCCACCTTTACTACTTCTGTTGTTGAAGGTATATTGAATTCTATCTACTATATCTAGTGAAGTATATCCATGATGGAGATTTCTCACCCAATAAATTATGTACAGGTCATGAATATTGGTGGGGTGATCTCAGCTTTAGCTGGTGCAGCACTTGTACAGGTGTCAAATTGATCCTTCCCATTTTTGTTTCTGTGGAAAGTAATCATCTGAAAATGAATGAAAAGTTTCTTGGACATTTGGCTTCTTTGACATTTAATTTGCTGAACTTTTTTTTGTTTAGGAAAAATGCTTGACAGAGTATTTACTTAGCATTCAGAATTTGGAATCTGCTTTTATCTATTTATTGTAGTCTTATACATGATGTTTTGACGTGAGTTGCATTGCTATTGCAACTGATGTTCTCTGAAGGGGCGTAGCCCATCCAATTTAGTTGTTCATCCCCATTCTCAGTGAATAATTCTGCAGATTCTACTGGGCTTGCCCTTTTTAACATCACATCCCATTGCATATATATCAAGAGCCTTCAATCTTGGACGCGTATTCATTCATTTCTGGTATCCTCCTTTTCACTTTATTTTTCTGTAAAATTTTGAATCCGTATCATTTATGGGGATTTGATGTCAAGTATAAATCAACAAACAAGGATAAAACTGATTTATGTTGGTTTCGATTTAGATCTTCATTGGTGGAAATTTTCTGCTACAAATTTATTTTTAATAACATGTTTTTATTTTGTAATGTTTGTGCCTCATAAGCACTGGCATTATTACATCTAGAGCTACTTGAGATCATCTAAACAATAGCCCTCAGCCCTTGGAATTTTCTTGAATTAAGACTACATCTGGGAATATTTCTGTTCATTTGTTCAAAAATCCAATATGCTTATATAAAGAAAATGAATTTAATTTCCTGGTAAGTCAGTTCCAAGATATGCGGTTATGTTTGGTCCTTAATCACTAAACAAACGTAGATATGGTGCGTGTACAACAATCTGATGCACATATTTACGATCATAAAACTAAAATCCTGAGTGTGACAAGTATGCATTCTTTGGGAGTCTGACTGAATTAAGGGTCCATAACCTTCTCTTTACGACTGCAGTTAACAATAGAGACGCAAAACAATCATATTTTCAAATAGTAATTTTGTGGAAATCCATGGCCATCTGTAATAGTGGATTATCCCAACTGTGCTTTTCAGGAATGTTTTTAAGTGGTTAAGATTGATAATTGTAATTTATGATTTCTGGTGGTTGTTCTCTAGTTTCACCTGTTTAATCTGACCTTCTTAACATTGAAAGTTTTTTTTAGCTGTATCCTTTTGTGGATAGAGTAATTTTTTTGCATATATAGGCTGACATAGGTCTTTAGTGTGATGCTGCTACATAATGGTCGCATTGTGAGTCTGGCACATCATGGAGTAACTATTGTAATTGGCTTTACAGCTGATCTCTTTGATTTTTGGGGAAACATAATGTTTACTCTATTCTTTCAGGTCTGTTAATTTCAAGTTTGTACCTGAATCAGTTTTTGTTTCAAAGGAATTTGCGGTCTTCTTGCTTATTACTCACCTCACGTTACTTGCCACTTTTGCTCATTATAGATGGTGCAAGTAAGTAAAAAGGCTTGAGTTCCCCACAGTATATTTGTCATTGATAATTGAGCATCAGGTTATGGGATTTAGGGAAACTATTAGTCTTGTTTGTGATGGCACATTAAATTCCAATTACAAACTATGTGAATATCAGCATTGATATTGTTCTATCTTTTGGGTAAAGTTATTGGATAAATTATAAAGCATGATTCTTATGGGAATGATTGTTTTGACGGTTTAAAGTTGATACGGGCATTCCCTGCGTGAAGAAAACTACAGGGAAAATGCTCTTTTAATGCCAAGATCAATGGTTCTGGTGTCCGTTAACTTGTAGGCATGAAGGAGGGCTGCTCAGATTTTTGTATTCAAGAGACTTCTCTGTGAAGCTAACATCTTCTCTGTCAAGTTCCTCAAGGATTCTTAAGGAAGAGCGTATGTTGTTATCCTCTCAAAGGATATCTGAAATGTCCATGCTGTTTGACTTCAGTTGTTAGTCTCTCCTCTGCTTCTCCTTTTCTTTTACTGGGATGCTAAATATGCATATCTTTCATCTTTCAGATATCTTGACGACTATGTTTGTTGGGAACTTCATTGGCATCATTTGTGCCCGCTCGCTGCATTATCAATTCTACTCATGGTATGTACCTTACGACAGTCATTGATCAAATGCTTACGACAGTAATTGTACCTTAAACTAAACTATCTGTAATTTGTACTTTGGTGTGGTCTATGCATTCTTAAATAAAAGAAACTGAGGAGTGACATTCGGCCGACCTGTTTAATTCGCTACTCATAGGGATGTTGGGAGAAAATTTACAAATTTGTAAGGGTTAAAAAAAGAAAGGTATTTGTTGTTGTATAGCTTCTAGATGTGGAAAGCCTTGGTTTTGATTTTGAAAAG